CTTAAAGCTGCATGCTTTAATTTTTATAGTGCTCAATGGTTATTTGATTGAATTATGATATCCAATAATTACTTTAGAGGACTCCAAACTTAATTCATCAATTTTAGAGTGTTATGTTAATACCCTCTATTTTCTTAAGCAGCCCAGCTGTATTCCTCAGTTTATGTAAAGAATATCTCCAGTTAAGCATTATTGAGTTAATCTACCCTCTTTGATCAAAGACTCTCTAAAGAAAAAATGATAAATAAAAAATGATGATACTTTTAAGTTCTCATTCTAACAGGTGACAGAAATAACCAGTTGACTATTAATAGACACACTTACCATTTTTATTCTATTTCGATGAAAAAGAAACATTATTGAAATAATGTGATAAAGCCACACAGTGGTGGTGCATGCCTTTAATCTCAGCACTTGGGAGGCAGAGGCAGGCAGATCTCTGAGTGAGGCCAGCTTGGTCTACAGAGCAAATTCCAAGAGAGCCAAGACTACAGAGAGAAACCCTGTTTAAAAAAAAAAAGAAAAAAGAAAGAAAGAAAGAAAGAAAGAGAGAAAGAGAGAAAGAGAGAGAGAGAAAGAGAGAGAGAAAGAGAGAAAGAAAGAAAGAAATGAATGAATAATACTCAAGGGCTAAACAAAAAATTACAAGTAAATGATAAGATGTGATCGTGTATATTGTAATGAACTTTGTAAAAAGGTTTTAAAGTAGAATATGTCAAAATAGTATACACATCAACAATGGCAGCTCTTTCCTATATGGCTAAAGGCTACATTTAAATATCTAAACATATACATGTGTATAAAACTTGTGAATATATTTCTCATATTAAAGCATGCATTCTGTTAAGGAGTTAATATACATCAGCATCTCATACAAAGTTTTAAAAAGGTGCTAGCATTCATAAACTCAGAAAGACTGGGATCACTATAATTCAAATGTATTAAGTAACACCATAATATGTTTTACTTTGCTAAATCTAGCCATATGAAATCCAGCTGCCCAATTTTGTGGAGAGATTCCTTTTTTTTTTTTTCAGTTAAAGCATCTTTATTTTGCAATTATCATTCCATACAAAAGCAATAGAAATGCAAATATTGACAAGTTTACATGAACAGAGTATCTGTACACATTATCATTTACAGGAATATTATATGGTAAATTAACTGATCATTAAAAAAACAAAGTTCTTTCTAAATCCCTCTCTTCTGCCTCAACTTTCAGAGCATGTGCTAAGATACTTACCTCACACTAATGTTATTTCAAGTTCCAAATTAAAACTATATAACTTACATAAAGCCCATTAATATAATAGCTTAACATCTTTGTTCAGAGCTCTGTATGAGGGAAAACTACATTCACATTGATAAAAGACCAGAAAATAAGTTTTTACAAAGACATTGCAGCTGCCTGACTGAGAATTCTTCATCAGTTACCTGAAAGGCAGCTGATTCTAAATTGGTCCCATAAACACATGGTTAAAATCCACTGTCAACCCATTTGAAAAGTGGCAACTGAAGTCTCAAGTTCTTGTGGAGAGCCACAAGTCTAACTTGGGGGGCAGAAAGATAATGGGTTAAGTCTTCACTGGATTTAGCCTCATTTACAATTTAAAACATGCGTAACACACTCACCACACACAAAAATGAGGCAAGAAAAAAATATCATGAGAAAATAAACTTTTAACAGAAAACAAATAGAAATGCACAGCAGCTCAAGCCTTCCAGGCAGCCAGGCAGAGCCAAGTATTTCTCAGAGTAACCACCAGGTGGCAGTTAACTCATGGGAGAGAAGTCTTTCAAAGGTTCTGTCAAGCAAGCTTCCAAATCAAACTCATCCTCCAATTGGCAGTCCACATGTCTGACTTTGGTGAGTGTGCCAGCATACACATCAAAGTTATCCTGTGAACTTGTCTGAGACTCAGAGCTGCTTTCTGTGAACTCTGTCTCCATTTCTCCAAGATCTACAGGTTGTATTTCTTGCAAATCACATCCTTCTTCAGCAGGAGGATCCCAAAAATGCAAAGCCACCTTCCAGAGTTTAATCTGTTGGTCCCATGACCGCCGGCTATATCTCTTAAATTTCTTGGCGGTCCTGGGATGGATTCCAGGTTGTCGCAGGTGTCTCGGGACCTCTTTAATGTACCGATCATAGGCAATAGTGTTCTTTCCATAGTTGATCTGCTTCTGCCTTCTCATCAAGACACTTTCATCCGTCTCTACATCAGCAGGCACTGAAGACATAGACTCCTTTGAATCAGCACTTCCTGATGATGATTTTCTCTCTCTCCCGAAGTCATTTATGAGTAGTTTTCTTTTGTACCTTGCAATCTTTTTGTTAACTCTGGTCCTCATTTCATCTTCTTCAACTGCACTGGCCCAGTCAGAACATCTAGAACGGGGCTTATGGCCTTCAGGAGTTGCAAAGCTTTCAGGTCCGTGGTCCACAGTCTGGAGCTCACCTTCTTCGGAGTCCTCAGGCTTCGGGTCCCTTCCGTCTGCTCGGTGCTTGTGTCCGAGACTCCATGTCTCAGGGGACCGCCAGCTCGCACCACTGTCGCAGAGACTCCCATAATGGGGTGGGCTTCTAGGTCTGCAGGCCATGGCGGCAGAGGTCTGAAGGGCAGCTCAGTGCCAAGAACCTCCCTTGGCAACTGCACTGACGAGGTCTCGTGGAGAGATTCCTAAGTGTCTTCATATCCATTTTCTGTTCATTTGTTTGTTTTTTGAGACAAGCTACCACACATCTCAGGTTAATCTGGCACTTGCTGTATAGCTAAGGATAACTATAAAGTCATGATACTAAAGGTCAGAGGAACCTTCTAAGTGGGGATCATAGGCATCTGCCACCATACCCAGTTTATGTGCTACTGAGGAACCAACCCATTTCTGTGGATGATAAGTATGTACTCTGCCAAATCAACTGCACCCTCAACCTATAAACTTGATCTTGTTTTACTCTTCCACCCAGTCAGGTAGATAGCAAAAATGCCACTTTATAAATAAAGACAAAGTTCTAAGGCAGCCTGCCCAGTCATCCAATTAATGAGCATAGAGAATAAAGCAAAACACTGGGTGGAGACCTGAGTCTCCAGGCCACACTCTTGATCTGATTTTGAGATGGGGTGGGGTGGGAAGCAACAGCTAATACAGGTTTGCCCTTTGGCTCCCTAGGGAAATCAAAAGCAGTTTTCATTAGCATGTTTTAGACACATGCCTTACATCCTTGCAACTACAGTTCCAGACCAGATAAGGCAAACTGAAATGAGATCGGTGCACTAGCATGTTGGAAATGTTTCATGAAGTCGCAGCACTCGGGAGGCTGAGGCACTTCTGATCAAGACCAGTTTTGATCACATGGGATTTCACATGGCTGAAAGGTTTTTATTTTCTATAATTTTCTTTAGCAAACTAACAACATCGCTTACTAGTGGGTAACTTCATGAGCTTCATTTTAGACTGAAACTCTTACCCTTCAGGGCAAGTCATCCATTTGAATAAACCGTCAGTGAATACAAATAGAGTGGGAATCCCAGGTGGTTATGCTCAAACTAAAACTTTTAACACAGCTGACATTATCAACCTCTGTTCATCAGTCTACTTGCTAGCTCTCAGTTTGATAGGTAAGATTCAAAACTGTGTCCCTGCAGTCTAGAGTACTTAGTGCTTGCAGATGCGAGAGTTGGGAAAACTCTACATGTTTCCTCAAAATATAAATTGTATTCTCAACCACTACACCAGACTATAATGTGGACAAGCGTACTGTCTGTAGCGATAGACCATCTAAAATCCATTTTAAGGAGCTGGAGCAAGGTCAGCCAGCAAAAAGCAGTGGCAAAAATAAAAGCCCAACTGCCAAACTTGGTGTTTATTATAAACTAGCTCTTTTAAACATGTCTTTAATAGAATGTTTCATCTGATAAGGGTAAAATGGTAGGGACATAGAATTTAAAATTTGCCGACTCTTATTTTATAATGAGGTTCAAAGGTCAATGGGAGGAGTACTTCCAAACCTCTTTCTCAAAAGCTCAGATTGCTCTTGAGTTTGAGTGTAAACTAAGAGTTTTCACCCCACATATCACCACAAAACCAATTCACTTCACATGGGCAAAGTGGATGGTAAATACATGCTATGCTTGCTATTTTCTTTCCTGATTATTTTACTAATTAAGGGAAAGAAAAGGATACAGCATACTTAAGGATAGTCCAATGTTTTAAGGATATAAGTTGTTGAGTTCTGGACGAAATACAAAGGAAGATGTAAAATCTTTTGCACTCGAATCAAAGTAATTTTGATAGAAATTTCAGAGTTTGGTTAAAAAAAAATATTTCAGATAAACGCCCAGCCACTACACAGACTGTTGGCACTGAGCCCACAAAGGCATTTTTAAACCTAAGTCAGTGGCCTGAGGAACATCTTATCTCCAAGGAAGACGGTCAAAACACTCAAATATTTTAAGTGACAGAAAATAACTATTACCATTTTACCGTGAAATGTGGTATAGTGTTCTCTCAAAATGAGATTGCTATCACAGCAGTTATCTGATCTCTCACTTGCTGCAGATTTACTCCCTCACCCAAAAGGAAAATGACCATCTACTAGATCTCATAATATACCTCCAGTAATTCAAGATACCAAGTGTACATCTTCTCAATGTTTGAATTTGAAAATCAACCAACCAATACACACTGAACTCAAGAAAAACATGCATATATTAAATATCACAGATATCAAATATGGTTAACTTTAGTTTGATTATCAATCTTTTACTTACTCTCATACTATGCCAAACTCTTATTGCCAATTTTCCCCATAAATAATCGTTCAGTTTTCAGTGCTGAGGATCCAGACCTTGTACATGCCAAGCCCATGATCGACATCTGAGCTACACTGCCAGTCAGCCATTCTTCATTTTTCAACAGTTCCCTTTTGTCCTCAACATGATATCCAAGCTTGTTTCTATGCAACACCTTCATCTCACCGTTTTTTTGTAAGAACCACATTTACCTCAGGGCAGTTTCAGCTGTTCATTCAATGAATGACCAGACACCTATTTACCAAGCACTGTACCACCTCTAGGAATACAAGAGTAATCCATAACACTGGTTCTTACAAGAATGATAAACAGTCCCAAGATGAAGTCATAGAATTCATAAAATCTGCAGAGTCAATAAAGTACAAAATTAGCACTTATACTTAAAACACATTTAATAGAGCTAGAAATATAAATCAGTGGTAGTGCTTTCCTAGAATGAAGAGCTACACTTCCCATTCATTATTAGCAAATTACCACCCACCATCTCCAGAAAAAGCAAAGAAAGCAGCATTGGTTAAAATACAGAAACAAACCATTACCTACATACAATACTTGAACTGGTGCTGTGAGCCTGATATGATGCAAGCATCAGTAGCTCACCCAACACTTGGGGCCTCACCTTGGGAGAAGGGAGAGGAAGATTTCCCTAACAAATGTGAGCTGCAGCGTTTCTTCAAGCCCTTCACTTGTGTGTTCCTTATTAGTATCATCAACATGTATGACATATGGGAGGTAGGCTGACTGACATAGTATTCATTTTTAATACGAAGAACTGTAAAGGAGGATTTACATGGGTAGCCCATGTACCAACTGAGCACCTAACCAAATGAGAATATCAGAACTCATCTGTGATATGCACGCATTACACATAACATACGTGTTCCGGCAAAAAGCAGCTTAATGAAGGAACCACATAAGGCAGATAAAAGCACGACCAACATCTTACTCAAAACACAAACTTCCACCAATTAGCTATCGTTTTAAAGTAAAACCATGACAACCTAGTATGCTGTGATGAAATAATAAAAAACAATTCAGGTCTCAAGAGACCAAATAAATATGCTTATATTTTCTTAGTGTTAATTGCACTCATAATAAATCTATGAAGGGCTAAGAGTAGCACAAAGTAGGTAAGCTTGCTGCAATTGGCAAGACACTGAAAATGTACATCTATTACTAAAAGACAAGCTCTCAAACTAGCCACTGTGATCAATTCATTCAAGTTTTCAATGATGTAGTCCTTCCATGTGAACTGAGCTCTGTTTGAGACCACCACATAAAGCCAAGTATCAAAAGATATGAACCACAGAATAAGGGTGGGTTTTTTTGTAAATGATTGAATCAAAAAGTCTAAAATCCAAGATTTTAAAAATGAAGCACATTTAATCATTTTTAAATATCATTTTGTGAGAAAAGGTTAACGTTTTTAAAATGAAGCACATTATGTGTCCAAAATAGTGACAATTACACTGACATGTAAAAGTATTATTAATCACTTAAAATGTCCAGTTCAGACTACTTTCAAATACATAAAACTGAGTTACTCTAGAAGCACAGATATGCTTGGAATACATACTAATTTTAGCTCATGTTACAATCAAGAGTTTTCACTGATCTACAAGATAGACAAAAAGTAATAAAATATAAATCTGGGATACATACAGGATGACAGAAAAGACCACTTGTTAATTCTGTTGCAGTATCATAAATATACCATTTGAGACACACTTATATGGACTGGTTCCCAGTGTGGAAAGGGGAAGCATGGACAGAATTATTTGTGTTATCAGGCACGCTGCAAAGAGAAAGCAGTTAATACATCTAAACGTGAGAGAAGGCCTTCTGTGTCTGCATTGAGGACCAAACCATTGCCAGTGTCAGAGCAGAAAGCAGTATTATGAGCCTCTTGGTGGAAGAATGCATCATCTCCTATGAAGCAACCCTGCACACACAATGACTCTTGAGAGCTAGCAAGGCTCTAGACCTTACCGACAACTTATAAAAATACAGAGGATGCACTCAGGGAGCAATGGAACGATCAACACAGGGAAACTATAAGAAAATAAAGCCATTTTCTGAATAAAAAGACAGATGGAAGAAAACTTCTGGCATGTCAGCCAGAACACATGAAAAGGTATTTCTAAAATTACAATATACAGATCATACTTGGATCCTAATCAGAACTGCTAAAAGTAATGAAAATGTGAATACTTACTGCTTGAAATTAAAGAAATATTCATTTTTGGTATAATAAAGATACCATGGAAACTTAAAAAAAAAAGATATCCTGGCTGTTTTTTAGAAAAATCTTTGTCTTTTAGAATAGGTAAGGATTTACTGTCATTTAGGTAATGAGAGAAGGGGTGACAGGCTTAAAATGCAACATCAGTGACAGTGACCTGGTAATAACCAAAGTGGTGACTTAGAAACAAACAAACAAACAAACAGATCTACAAGTAGGTTTTCCCTGAGACATTTCTGATAACTGAAATGGAATAATTTCTGTACTGATGCATGTAAGGAATTAAGGCTTTGGATTGTTGTCAAGAATTAAGATGACTTCTGCGGCAGTGTCTCCACTCTAATGCTGTCTCTGCTGTCATCATGGTGTGCAGCTACAAAGAAATGCTACTTTCTTCCCATGATGAAGGAAGCTTTACTCTTCCAAACCGTGACCAGTGTTACCTACTGTCAAACTCCAATTACATACATAGAGTGCAACCTTTTGTAAAACTAGGCTGAGTCTCACTACTCACTCTCATGTTTTAAAAAATCTGGATGTACCATAATAGAAGAAAACAGACATATGCAAGCAGAGAAATGTTTAAAACTTTCAAGTTGGGATACACTGACACTATTAAGAAGATGCTCTCATGAATGAATTCTTATGTGTATAGCATGAAGTGAACAAAACAAACCATATGCCACTGGAAGAAATGGCTGCAAGTTCAAAAACAGCTTAGAAAAATATATACCATTATTAAAAATAAACAGTAAACAAGAGATTGATTATAAAGTGTTATTTCTATTCAAAACAGTTCATAAGCAGTAAGTAAACACCACTACATGGCAAGCTAAGTATCTTTTGAAATGAGCTGATTTCAAAATATAAACCAAGTGATCTCTATACACAACGGTTTCAGGATTCCAAAATGTCAAATTATAGTGATGTTCAAATCCCTAGAAATCTCCTAGATGAATATAACCTGTACATATTCTCCCACATACTTTTATCTTCAGATCATTTAAGATGCCTCATGAATTGTAAATTCTGTGTAACCGTTGTACGTAGTACTAAAGAAGAGGTGAGATAAACAAGTTGGGTGTTTGATGCAGATGCAATTTTTCAAATATTTCTGAGTATCACTGATGATGAATATACTAATAGCAACTGAATACGTGTTAAAACCAAACTGCACCATGGTTAACATGTCAATGCAGCTAACATTTACTTATAGGCACTGTCAAAGTTTACTTAACTCTGTCTTTAACCTGATATTAGTCGTGTGTGAAGAGAAATGAAGTAGATCCTAATTCCTATGATTCCAAGTGGCATTTTAAGTGTTAATTGAAATGAAAGTGGGTTATGCATACATGAAATAAAACACAGGCACAGAAGCTCATATGAGAATGAATAATACAGAACTTAGTTACTAAGTTTACTACTGTATACTTCTAAAGTGAAAGACTTTGTTTGAAAGTCTATTTCGTAACTTGGCAAAAAAGAAAAAAGAAAAAAAGAAAAAGTATTACTAGTTACATCAAAACTGAAGAAAACTGAACCCAGTGTCAAAACTCATCTGAGAAGTATGGTCCCTTTCTGACAGGTCATTTCCAATAAACAAGTAGGGAGAAAAATCTGTTTAGACTCTAGGTTAAAAATTCAGTATGTGTGCCATTTTTTCTCTCTCATATTTTATGTTATTGCCTCCATATATGACCTACTATATTTATATACTTGAACAGTCTTTATCAAAATCACTTCAAATATTTTTGCATATGACATGGCTACATTGTTGTCAACTTTTGCACTTATTCTAAGTCCTATAATCCCTTAATGTAAACTGTGTAGCTAAAGTTTCTTCCTAAACTTTTCACACATGGGTGACTATCAACAGCAGCAGCTACTACTAAAAACATAATGGTTTCTTTATATATAGACAGCCATGTGTGTGCGGCAGGGAAGCGACACACACAGAGCTCTTATCAGGCACGTGGTTAAATACTAAATGTTTAGGTATAATCAAGTACTATTCCATAGTTAACTTGTAGCTTAAGGAAGATTAGTGTACTTTAATAAACTTTTACAGGAAAAAAAAACCAATTTGTATTATTGAAATAGTTTAACCAGTAGGAAAAAATACATGAAATAAATATAAAAATGTAAGAATAGTTCAAAACATATCAAAGTAACAAAAGTAAACATGACCTCTACGGAGTAAAAATTATCTTTCGAGTTTTCTAAGGAGCTGTGATTTTTATATACCTGACAATTAGCTGCGCACATCACCTGTATTCATGTGAATACACGTGTTCACAGACAACCCCCTATGTACAGTGTACATACATAAAGCTTTAAAGAGCAAGAGTGCAATGCTTCCAAAAACCTTAAGCACCAGTGTGAGATTCCTAGAACCTGCCGAGCCTCTAGCATGCCAAATGGTCCAGATTATGGATACAGACCACATTAAATACTCTATAGGTTTGAGATTGCCTTTTGCCCACAAATCAAACAAAATGCCTAAAACTAGCCTCTTAATAGACAAACCATGAAGGGAGTTTATCATCAGTAGGTATTTGTACTTCAGTAACATAGTTTTTAACGTTATTAACATTGCTAATTTCCTTTAGATTAAATATTCAAGTTGAGATTTATATAGAAGCCTAAATATGATCATTCTGCTTGGACTCATACAACACATCAAAACCCTACTTCTCAAGATAAAATCCTTGATCAAAAGAGCAATAAATGCTTATCTTTCATGGAAAGAAATTTTAGTCCAATTTTTCTTGTGGCTTGTATCAATACTGATAATTAAAGTTAGTTTTGTCACAGTGTATTATTACTAAAAAGTATACTTCTAATGATTTGAACTAAGGTGCCTGTATATTAGGTGATTAAATATATTAAAACATTAAAAATGATTTACTGGTGGACTAACTGTATGTCTTAATCTATTATTGCCTTATAATACATGTTGGGGTAGAGCTAATTTTAATAACACTGCTAAAGAAAAATACTGTCTAATCATTCAGAATAAAGCTTTCACTACTTGCAATAGCTTAGGAATATGCCACAATTCTATCTTCTATATGAAATATATATAATAAAAATCTATTATATATATATATATGTATATATAATTCACACATATATATGATTGAAAGGATTGGGAGTAGGTGGTTGGTGGAGTTAAGTGTACCTAATTTGGTTTTTTATTAAAAATAATTTATCTACTATAATTCACTTAATAACATCTTCAATGTCCTGGCAAGACACTGGTTCTACATGATCCTTTTCCCCAATCAGTTTTTCAACTGATAGAAAAACATTCTTCAGGCCTTAAAGCAGTTTCCATTATCACAATTTTAAGAACTCTACTGCAGAATTAATTTACCATACAAAGAATATTAACATTTGAAGATCTATATATCATCTCCTCAGAAGTTACATGATACTGGAAAGAATATAGTTAATGAGCTATGTGAAACAAATGAACAAAATAAACCCCCAAAAATCTCATGATATGTTTTCAGTTTTAATTTGAAAAAAAACCAAACAAATGAACAAGCAAAAAAAAAAGCTTGAAATATATACATACATTTAGGAGAAAATAAAGAAAAAAGGGAGAGATTGCCAATATTCATCAGCAAGTGTTATCAATGACGGGTTCTGTAATTAAGATTTCTCTAATGAAACCTCAAGTTTCAAAGTTTATTGTAATATTGTTTTGTACACATACCCGTTTGAACAATACTAACATTAAATAACTAAAACAAGAAGACCTAGAAAACTCTTTGTATAGGTTCCTGGCTGGAACAGCTCACGTCTAACTCGGGTACACAAACAGACTCAAATACCCTCTCTGTCCTGTACCACGTTTGTATCACGATTCATACGCTTAGCAAATGAAGCACTAAAATAAGGTCAATGCTTCGCGTACCAAAACCATGTTCACAAAACGACTAAAGAACTTTCTTCCAGAGATGAGAACATTAGTAATGACTGTGTCAAGAGGCATATGTTTTATTACTCTTGCATGTATTTTGGACAAAAATATTGAACAGCTCCTTATGCTCTTCCACACATCATATTCACTGAGTTTATGGCCACAGTTTTAGTGCAACAAAATATCTTTGAAAAGCCACTCTACAGTAATTATGGCAAGGCTCATTTAAATGCAGAGGTAAAGATCCTATCTATATAGAAACTTAGAAAATAATGTTTGAAGATGAAAAGATACTCCACCAGGATGAATGATTTTAGTATACTAAAAATATATAAGCATTTCTTGAATGACTTTTACTGTCAATTTTGATGGAGTATTCTTAGTGATGATAAATTTTGAGAGGTATACGTTACACAATCATTATACTTGAGATTATAGTCTTAGGTAAATATTTAATACACAATGCCAAGGTAGTTTCATTTTTTTTCTGTTTTTAATTTTTGTACCAAAAACTTCATACATTTAATGTTGACATCTTTCTTACCTGTGTGCCTCAGACCAATAAAGTACTCTGCATTAGAATTTAAATCTTGAGACAGTAGTATAGCAGTGAAAAAAACTGTAAAGCAGCTCAGATACATTGAACCCAGGTTTTACATTTTCATTTGTCAGATCAGAATATAAAAAGTAAGCTCGAAATCAACTTGAAAAAGCTTATTCTTCCTCAAGAAAAAGTATGAACAATCTGGAAATGATCAACTAGTATGAATGAAACATTGTACATAGTGAAGTCACATTGGTGGCTGTTAGACATACCACTCCCTCCTGGAAATTACGGAACCATCTACATGGGAAACTAAATCATCTTCGTTTTCATTATAGCGTTCATCACTCATGAACTTCATTCCCATTTTTAGATCTTCGTAATAATCCATTGGTCTTTCAAACCTAGTGAGGTTCTCTACATTATTCCACTGAGTTTTCTCAGGCTCTTCTAAGTAGTCTTTACGTATCAGGTTGTTCACTGGGTTTTTGTTTTCCTTTTTTACACTGTCTGGGTAAGAATCAAGCTCATCCTGTTGAAGAACATCGATTTGCGATTCTTTTTGCATGTCTGATGGTGGAATGTAGTTTTTGGCAAAGTAGTCTCCACGAAACGTCCGTCGTCGCCTATAGCAGAATATTCCAGCCAAAATGCTCACAAGTACTACGAAGAGAGCCCCACCCACTACACTAGCAATGATGGTGCCAATTGTGTCATCCTTAAGTGTTGCCAAAGTTGACAATGGAAAGGGCAATTTTTTATGTTCTGTTGCTAGATCCTTGACGTCAGCAGTTGAGGAATGCCACTGAACTGTAGGCTGAAGGGTGGTGGTAGTAGGAGGATCTAATGGAAACAGTAAAGATAGACAAGACACAGAAAGGCAGACAATGTCAATGAGGCTGATTCAGCAGCAGGTGAATAGGCAGCACACTTAATGAATACATGTTCAAATAACAATAGTTTTTCATTCTTAATTTAAGATTAAAAAGTAGTATTACTGAACAAATACTTAAAAAAACAATCCTGACATTTTAACCTATGAAATGAGGAGAGATGAAGCCAGTGGTGTGTGTCAGAAGTTATTCGCTCCACACTTGAGGACTGCATGCTCTAAGGCACGGGTTACTGTTTCAATGTAGACTATTACCTAAGTGGTCTATGCATGGCTGGCTCGGGAATGAACATACAAAATTTCAATTAAATAAAAAGTTCCAAATGTGTAGCTTGTTAGTCAGTATCAAAATAAAATAAAAATAAAAACTGACAAAAAATACTTTCTTAATATGCATGTTTACTTAATATTTAAGAGTAGGACTTAGCTTTTAAAAGAATGAAAAACCATAGTCTTGTTAAGTGGACATACTATATAAATTGTGGGTTTAATAATTCTCTCAAAAATATTTTTCTTAAATAAAAAGTACTATAATTTTTTATTAAAGATATATAATAGTAAAGATCATTATTTGGTAATTTTAAAAATAAAACAGCAGGTATATAAAACTGTGTCGATCAAGTGCACTATTATTAAATGAGAATAACATACACAAAATAAAAATGTAATAATCGTCTCTAATAATCAAAGATAACATACTGAACATTTGTAACATTAAGGAATTTCAACTATATTTGCATAATTCCATGCTATTGTTTTTAGGATAAACTGTAAAGGAGAATAACTAATATTTTAGAGAGAACATTCTAATAATATTTAAGTATTAGATGCAAATGAATCATTTATTGATATATTACAGAGTAGCCATTAATATTAAAAAGCAACTAAACATAAACAGTAAAAATTAAAGACTGGTTAATTGTCCATTAAGTAGTATCTGTTGGCCATGTTATATACAGTTCTAAAGTTCAAAGATGCGTTTAGAATGTGGAGTTTTTCATAGATAAAGATAAGCCCAAATGGTAATCTCTTAAAATTAATTTTTATGAGAGTGGTTCTGATAGAGCTTTTTAAAATGATTGTTAGAAAAGTACTAAATCTACATGGTGTAAGTTATTCTAACATCACAAGCTAAGAAATATACTTACTGAAACAGGATTCATCACGGAATGCCATATGTATAGAATGTGGTAAAAATTTAGCAAGTACAGCATTAAAAAAAAAAAATCCACCAAATACTGTAACCTCTTTTCCTATGGTTTTAAGCTTGTAACAGGTAATACTGACAGGTACTACATGTATGTGAATCTAGGAAAACTTCACATGACAATCTTCTCTAGCTGGGCAAGTTCATTTTGAATGAAGTATCCAAATGTGAAACTCAAGGATTCTTTTTAGCATCAAAGAAGTAAAGCTTCATATAATCTAGCTTCAAGAAATTAAGGTGCTAAAGAAGTAAGACAAAAACCTAAGCTCTTCTATGAGACAATGTGTGTTTACTTTTTAGGGGAGTAACAGAGCAGCCAATTTACTGAACAGATAATATTTAATGACTACAAAAAAATGTACTAGCACACTGCAGTAACAATACAAATATAAAAATACAAATTCCCTATATTAATTATTTAAAATGTATCCACCTCTGTATATCTCTATACATGGAGTTGTTCAAAGCTTAGGACCACCCTAACGCCCTAGTTTTCTTGGAACAACGCATACAGCTGAGCTCCTACCAACTAGGAAATATAAAACTCAACAGTGTTGCAATTTATTGATTCAAATTTGAACTTTATTTCCATTTGCAAAGTTCTTTATACACACACAAATGGATATCTACTGTTTTTTCATATTTAACAAAAGAAAATTTTAACAATATTCAAAATTCAGTTGGTCTTATTAGTGAATCTTGGTTCATGCATGGAGTCAAAGGTTTTAATAATCATCAATAGCTACTTATCTATGGTGACTTAAAAATCACATCATCACTCATTGTTTCAATCAGACATTATATATTTTTTGCTAAATGTATGACATATGAAAAGATTGCAGTTGATTCTGAGATCTCTACCAAATGAAAGGTCTTTTTTAATCTGTTTAGCCAACAACTTAATTAGTTCTGCCAAATAGAAGAACAAATAGTACATTCAGGAATGTCCTTGTAGCTATAAGGCACAATTCATCTATTAATAGATTTTAAAATTAAATACACTGACCTTAAATTTGTTTAAATTTTTAAAATTTCATATCTTAAAATTAGAAATTACCATTTATAGATTCTTGAAATCTATGCCTGGCTCTCAAAATCAATAATATGAAATTCTACTGTGCAGAGGGAATATGTCAGGCCTGGAGTACTGATGTGAAATGTTGTAATTTGATATTCTACTTTCAGAGAAGTAATATATTAGTTATGGGAAGGGACAAGCAAACAGCAAATCAGAAAAACACAATGTCCAGCAGCCTGCTAGTCCTGGGCTAAGAGCCACGAGAGTGACACTCTACTTGAGTACAGTCCAGCAACCTAAACTGAATCCTGTAATCATGAGCCCATGGCCTTCTGTCCAAAACCTAAAGGCCATGAATGTGAGAAAACAAAGATGTTAAAAACAAATTCACTCACAGTGACTAAATCCATAGTTTTCTAAGTAAAACTCCTGACATAAGATTATATATTTTTAAAAGTAAACCTAGCACCAAGATGATATCTTACTGTATCAATTACAGCCTCTTACCCTGACAAAAGCCCGGTAGGTTGATGAAAAAACACCTTTTAAAAGCACCAGCACATCAAGGATACTTAATAAAAAACACGCAACAATAGAGAAGGCAACTACAGCTGGCAGAGACAACAGTGCCATAGACTCTGCACAAGAAGTAAGATTCAACTCTTGATTACTTCATAAGCACTACCTCACACAAAGTTATCCTCTTCAGCAGTACTCTGAGAAATTACACTGGTGTCTCGTATTTACTTAAAGTTGTCTCCCACTTTATAACACTTAAAAAGTTTTGCTTAAAAAAAAGGTTAATCATCAGTCCCCTAAATAAAGAAAATAAAGTTACTTTTTTCCTAAATCTAATTTTTTTTTCACTCATGCAACAAAAGTGTATGGGATACCTACTGTGTGTCACAGAGCACTGACATGGCAGCAATATAGCTGTGATTAAAGTAGATACAAATCTTTGGCCTCTTAAGAGTTAACTTGTAGCGAGGATAAAAGTAGGTAAGCATATGAATAAAAATATGAATATGCCATATGAACAAGTACCAAGGAGAAGAATAAGGCAGAGAACAGGGTTAGCAATCAGGAATAGAGAATCATAGAAGAAAGATTTTGTTGGAAGATGTGACAGTTTAGAAAGGAAAGTAAGGAAAAAGCTGCCAGAATACCTCCAGACTACGGAAACAGAAAATGCAGACTGAGTCAGGAGCATACCTGTTATGTCCAATGAAACAGGTAGACCCAGTGAGCACGGACATAGACGATGATATGACTCCAAGAGTGCACAGAGGCCTGTTATTCACTGTGAAGATCTAGTTTTAATCTCAGTAAATGGAAGTTCACGGAAGGTTTTAAGAGGAGTGACAATCTAAGGCACTCTTTAAAAGACTGGCTGCTTATTATGTGAATACAGACTGACGGGTGATAGGTTCAAAGCTGGAGATTAACCGCTTTACAGGCAAAAAGTTCTGGTTGTCCTTGATCAAAGCAGTAACAACAGCAGAAAAGGTGTAGAGTGGATTACTATTCCATATGACATGCAGGAAAGCTGATACTGGTTTAGTGGTGGACTGTGCGGAATAGAAGAAAGAGTGAGAAGAAGGTTGATTTAAAGGGTTGTGTCTTGAGTGAATGCAGTGACAGAACTCACAGGCCACTGAAGGGAGAAGCTGACAGAGAGTTTGCATCGAGGGACAGGAGAAAAGTCAGGACAGGTCTTGATTTTGAACAAGGGAAGTTGTAAATGTCTACTCAATTTCTACATATAAATACATATAATTCATGATTGTAAATAGGCCGCTGCAAACAAAGGATGAAAATTCTTCAAAATAAAACAAAACAAATTATAACCCTGGAATCTAGAAAGTGTAAAGTTTGGCTATCACCAATGAAATCAGCATACATATGTAAAAGACAAACATGAACCTGGATACGCAAAGACGATATAACAATAACATTGGAGCTAAAATCAAATACCACACAGGAAGCTATGCAAAAAGAACAAAAGGTAAATACTCGCCAGGAAACTAAAATTTAAGTTTTCAATATAATTTAAATATATACTGTCTATGGTTGTCTTTCAACAGAAGAAAGTGATTCTAATACTTTAATCAATCAACTTCCCACAAAAATGCTGTTACTAAGGAGCTGTATGTGGATGTACATGGTTTTTTGTTCCTTGTGAGTATGACACAGAAAACTGGAGTCTTTGCTGTATGCCAGGCACTAATCCATTGCTTGTCCTGAGGACAGGTGAGCAGCTATGCAAGCATGTCACTAGCCTGTAGTGACACTGGGGGGGCAAACACAGGGTCACACAGAACTGAAAACACAAGCATAATACTTTCTAAATCTCTAACATATTCTTTATTTGAAGAAACTTAGAACACAACTATTCATTCCATTGTAAAAACCTTCATCTGACGGTCCTGCTTTTTCTCATCCTCATTTTCTGAGTTAGATGTGAACATTGCTAGATCCTTCTGATCATTAAGAATCATTCAAATAATTGAATGTCTCTTTCCTGTTTTAGTACCTTATGGGTAATTTATAGCTATTGATAAAAAATATGGGTTTTGTTCTTTATATTTTATAAATGCTGAAATTTATACTGAATTAACTTAACAAAACTTTCATAGTGCAACAGTATGTGGAAAATAAATTTTCAGGGCTTAAAAACTTAGAAAAATTATCAAATTTTACATCATTAAAACACAGCAGCATTCTTCACTTCTCATTACCCTAAAATGGTAGTCCCATCTCCAATGGCAAGTGATGTTATTTCCAAATCCAAAATAAAAAAGTTAACAGCCCATTTTACTTTATCAGACATGCAGAGCGGCAAATAAAGAAGGAAAAGAAACGATACACTGTTTATTGTTTAAATACCATCTAGAAAGGCATGCTAGAGTCAAAGATACTTGAAGGACCTGTTGACTACATATGTTGACATCTCCTTAAAGAACTGCTGCTTTACAAACACATCTTAGATGCTCCTACTCTATCATATTCCCTTTATGTTCTCTTTTAAACTTTCTACCAGTGAACCTAAAGTGCTGTAAGGAAAAGTATTGCACAGTATTATCTTACAATTACTATGATATGACTACTTTAACTTATCTCGGAACATGGCAGTAGCTTACCTGAAATGTAGATGACCTTTTGATCACTTCTTTGACCAAGGGAATTTGTCACTTTACAGACATAAACGCCAGAATAATTGACAGTCAGTGGATGGACAAAATGAAGAGTATTGTCTGAAGCCAATAAACCATCGGGCCACTGTCCATCCAACCTAAATGTTTAAAAAGCATAACATTATTTTAAATAGCTTCAAATAGCAAACTCTTACAATTATTAGACTGTTATACTTTTAGGATATCAATAAAAGTCTGTGTCCTTTACCTATAATTAGTTATGAAAGCATATAATTTTCATTTCAATAAAGATGAACTATACAAGTCCATTAAATACATCCACTTCTTTTGAAAATAATCCATGTATGCTAGATAGGTCAGCATAATGAGAGGGAAGCTTTTCAAAGCTTTTATTAAATTTCATCAATTACATATATACTGCATCCTGATAATGACCACCCTCCACCATCTCTGAAGCCCCAACCCCCCCCCCCCGCCAAGCCTGCCCTATTCATGTCATTTTTATGATACACTAAGTTTAACCAGAACTTCTGGTATGACCTGTATTTGGAACTATCTACTAGAGGCTAGTGGGCTCATCCATGGGTTCCTAACTGAAAACAACCTATTTCTTCCTTTTCCCCAGAATACAGGAAAAGCTAATAGTTCAGAAAGCAGAGATGGGTCCTATCAGTCTCTTTCTGACTAGTGACAGGTTGAGTCCTGTCCAGGGCTAGTACAGACTGCCACAGCTACTGCTAACATCACAACTTCATTGATTGTGTCAACCACAAAAGACAGCATTTCACAGCTCTTCCCACATCTTCCTGCCTTTTATTTCCCACTCACACTTCACAGTATTTCCCTAGCTTTTGATGGAGTGGTATAAATGTCCTATGTAGGACTCAGCATTCAACCATCACTTAAGTCTTGGGACCCTGAGCAGCCATGAACTTCTGCATTCAATACCATTCACTGTAGAGGGAGACTAAATCTGTATATCTATCCTGGCACAAAAATCAACTACTCTAAATGGATGGAAGACCTCAACATAAAACCACAAATTCTGAAACTGTTAGAAGAAAAGGAAGGCAATGTGCTATAAGATGCAGTCATAGGCAAGGGTTTTTAAATAGGACTTGAGTCACTCAGAATACAAAGCCAACAATCAACAAACTAGACCTCATGAAAGTAAACAGTAGTGTACAGCAAAGAAAAGCCCAAAGAGTCAGAAATCTTTGCCAGCTACATAACTACAGAGTTAATCTACAGAATATACACACACACAAGAAAATAAAAAAAAAATTTTAAAAACAGGCCATGGAGTTAAGTCCTAGTTTGCTTTAAGTGTCAAGTCTGCTATTACCTTGAGTCAATGAGATGGGAATCTCAACTGAAGGATTTCCGAGATCAGAGTGTATTACGGGCATGCTTGGGGAAATGTTTGATTATTGATTGATATAAGAAGGCACAGTCCACTGTGGGCACCAAATCCCCACGTAAATGGAACTGAGCTATACACAAAAGATAGCTTAGCATGTTAAGAAGCCAACAACCAGCATCGCTCCATGGTTTCTGCTTCATTTAATGATACAATTTTCCCTAATAATGGACTATGACCTGTAAATGAGCACAAACAATTTCTTCCCCTAAGTTGCTTTGGTCAGTGATTTACCATATCATAGAGATCAAAGTAACAATCTAAACAGATAATTCTCAATGATGATGATAATGATGATGATGACACAAATGGCTAATACACACTTGTAAAATTACACACTGTTAGCCATGAAAGAAATAAAAATTAAAACTACTTTGAGAGATGATTTGACCCGCTAGAATGTCTATCATGAAATCAAAGGAGGAGCTAGAGATACGGCTCAGCAGTTAAAAGCATTTGTTGTTACTGAACCAAGACCTGTACTTGGTTCCTAGCACCCATATGGGACCTCACAATAGTCTCTTTACAGATCCATGGGACCTAATGCCCTCTGCTGTTTCCATGAGCTTTTATGTGAACATGGTGTTCATCTGCAAGGAAATACATGTCAAAATAAATAAATAAAATACAAAAGAATCAATTGACACCAAATGCTGTCAAGGCTATAGACAAAGAGGAATACGTAGTCACTGTTAGTCGGAGTATAAAGTAAAGTATGGAAATCAGTTCTTCAAAACACTAGAAAGAGAACTATCACCCAGCTCTCGTACTGCTAGGGACATACCCAAAGGACTTTATATTCTACTACAAAGGTATTTGTTCAACCATATTCAATGCTGCTCTATTCACAACAGCTAAGAAATGAAGTCAGCTTAGATGATCATCAGGTGATGAATGGATGATTAAAAATGTAGACAGACATAATATAATTCTATTCAGCTGTCAAGAAAAATGAGCTATTGGATTTGTATGTAAATGGAACTGAAAAAAATTATGAGGTAACCAAGGCCCAGAAACAAAGCACACCATGTTCTTTCTCATATACAGACCTTAGCACTGCATCTTTAGATTTGTGTTTAACTTCAAGTACCTGTGGAAGCCAGGAAAGTCAAAATGGCCCTTTGGGGGTTGGGTACGCAATAAAGAGGGTGCAGTACAACATGGGTGATGTGGTGATATGGAAGTGGACAGAAGGAACAGGACAAATGCAAAGTATAAGGTTTGGGGCAGGGAAGCAGGGGGATTACAGGGCAGAGGGTAATCAATGAAGTAGGCCTGGAAAGGCCATGTGGAGACTGACTTAAATGTAAGCCAAAAACCAGAGTGAGAGCTGGAAGAGCAGTACTACGGATCTCCTAAAAGCCAGGGATTATTAAACAAAACTCCTAGCACTAGATATGAGATGCCTCTGTATTAGCTGAGCCCTTGAGACCCCAACAATAGAGCCTCTTGCCATTTTTCAAGATTGCCCAACAGAATTAGAGAAGACTCTATTGCTGAAGATATCACACACCCTAAATACAGGAGACAGAGAAACCAAGCTGAAACTGAAGGGGAAGCTTCCTCACTGCAGGCTGGCTATCATCAGATCCATGACAGTGATGACAGGGAAAAGGGAAAAAAGCTCAAGTCTCTAACAATGCTGCCAGGATCCAGGGACAGAAATACCTGGACAGGATGGTAAAAGACAATAGGGTAGAAAAATACTGAGAAACTTCTCATTTGTTTAATTTCGGTAGCTATTAATTTAATTAAGTGCTGATTAAAATCAGCCTTAGTGCATTTAAGAATGCATCTCTCTATAAAACAAT